GGGGGTCTCGCTTTAACGGTCGTTTTACCCTTCGCGCGCTCTTTTCAAGTCGGCGCGCGGTCGATCGGCCGATCGATTACGTTGCTTTCCCGCGTGTAAATCGTAATCGCGCGCGTTGCAGTTTAGCCGTGATTAACCGGCCCAGTGGTGGCTACGCAATCACGAGGCGGATTACAGGGCGCGCGCCCGCTAATGGTCCCCCGGATGATTCGCCCTAAGCGGCGCTAAATTATTAACTTAATACGCGCCACCGCCAGTCCTCTGGTCCTTTGTTCTCTCGCGAATTTATGGGCGGATTATTCGCGGGAAATTTCAGAAATATCGGTCGGTTTTTTTATTTCGTTAAAGGGCGATTTTTAAAGCTCCCCCCCCCGTTCTTCTCGCGCAGTATTAAACTGCGATCTACGTCAGGAGCGCCGGCCGCGCGAAGTTTTCCCTCGTCCCTTTTTCTTACGTCGCGTCGTCGAGATAAATCAGCCTCCGTTCGACCCGACCCGGCACGTTTTTCACCGATAAAACCGTACTTCGCTCTTCTTCGTGTTCTCCGCGTCAGGTTTTTATTATCCCGCGCGTACGACTCGATCTGCATTAGTCCTGTTCCCGTTCGGCGGGAGCGGACCTTGAATTTACGGCTCGGGGATTACCGGCGTCTCTCGACAGTTTCGTTAGAAAAATCAGCGACTCCGTCAGAAGCGGCGATTACCGTTTGATCCACTCGATGATCGATCGGGGGATTCGCAGTCGGTCGTCGATTCACGAGCGAAAAAGCGTTCGCCGGCGACGGCACGCGGGGGGACAAGGGAAAAAGAAAAGCGGAAGCGGTCTAATCCACGACGACTGCCAGGAAGATCCGCGCGACTTCCCGCTTCTGACGTCATAATTCGATACGACCCCGCGGTCGTGGTGGCCGATGTGCCCCCGAGGCTCTCCCTCTCGAACGGGGCGGGGGAAAAAAAAAAAGAATCGGCCCGTCACTGAAATCATTTTACTCGTAATAAAGTTCCGGGGGCAGCGGGAAAACGCGCCGGTGCGCCAGCGCGACGAGATAATCCAATTATTTTATCGCGACAGCACGTGTCGGCACTCGAGCGATAGAAGGATTCTTCTGTCCCCCTCGTGGAGGAGGGGACGCGGGAGGGTCCGAGCGTGCGCGACGATACGGTCCAGGCGGTTCGCGTTACCTGACGTTCGTTTCCCGTTCTCCACCCATCCGCGACCTCGCGGTGATTGATGAAGCGTCCGATTTCCCTTTTTGTTCTTCTTTTTGCAGATACGGGCTGCGAGTCGGCGAGCGAGAACGTGCCCCTGCAGGGCGCCCTGACCGCGGCGGTACGGACGTCCGTGGGGGTCACCGAGATCTCGCTCACGTCCAGCACCACCAGCAAGACCAATAACGAGCAAGTGGCGCAACTGTAGGCCACCAGCCCCCGTCGAGGTCGCGACCACCCGGTGGACCACACGGTGGACGTGCACGCGGCGCGGCGTCGTTGGAGAGAGAGATTGCAATCAGCGAGAAACGCTGATGTCGGGATAATTTCTAAATTTCAACCTGTTATCCGGGGAGACTGATGTAATCGAGCTGGTATTCGAAGGCGAGGGACGCTGAGCGTCTCGCGACGCGGTTGTCGTCGTTCGCCAGCATCTTCCGAGAAGGAGAGAGAGAGAGATGCCGGAGGTCATCGGTCGTTATCGTGATCGCTGTTGTCGTTATTGTTACTGTTGTCCTTGTGCATAAATTATACACACATACACACGTGCAGCGATGGACAGAATGGTTGCGGGACTTTTTTAAATGAGCTTAGGAACGCGCGTTTAGATTCAGGTTTACGTTCCAAAACGTTTCCCCCGGGGGAAAGATTCTATTCGTGAAATATTGAGATCGGAAAGCGCTCAAAGTGGTTTCGGACTGGCCATCGAGTGAAATATTTCCCTGTGCAGTGAAGGACAGAATGGTTGCAACACTTTTTGAAAATGAGTTTAAGGGCGCGCATTTAGCTTCGGGTTCCAAAACGTTTACTCTGGACCAAAATTTTACTCGAGAAATAGCTCGGAAGCGCTCAAGATAGTTTCGAAACGGCCATTGAGTAAAATATTTCCCGGAGAAGAGGATTTTGGAACGTAATCCTGAATCTAAATGCACGTTCCTTAAAAAAAGAAAAAATACTCTCGATCATTCTACTCATCACTGTACACACGTGCGCGCGCGCGCGCGCACCACACGCACACATAAGGAAGAAAAAGAAGCACACATATACGTACGTGTGTTGTACGTGCATTTATCGAGCAAGTGTATACCGTGTGACCCACTAATTCTAGCCGAGCACCTCGTGACTTGTATAATTTCGATTAGGAGCGTAAATGTTGATCTCACCGTCAATTTGTTCGTCCCCCCCCCCCCCCCCCCCTCGTTTATTTATCGGACATTTGACACGCCCCCCCCCCTCTCCTCGCCCGTCCGAGTGCGCCTTCCGAGACGAGATAATCGTACACAGTGGACAATAAATAAATGTATATTTGAAACGAGCACAATTGTATATCTACTACGGAATATCGAGGGAACGTTAATCGGCAATGCAATACTGTTTTCGACTCGATAGATTCTCAGCCCCCTCCCCCTCCCCCCCCACCCCCCGCCACACCGTCCGTCCTCCCGCCGCCACCTTTTCTTACACGTTCTAAAGCCGATCGAGTGTTTCGGAAATCGGCGCGCGAGTCGCCTCGAAACGTATCTCCCCCCGTTTTGAAAGCGTATTTTTACCTCGTACCCTCTACGCGACACACGAATTAAAGAGAGAGATTGCTTTTATATGCGCGCAAACCACCTAATTGTCTCTTCACCCTTCCCACCCCCTTCCCCATTACGTCGGGTTTCACAGGATTTTTGAAACGTTTGATCAATTTTTGTGAATAACCGAGGGAGACGAGTGTTGTCATTGTATCGGCGATTGAATCGTCCGACTCCCGCGGTCGCCGAGGTCAAAGCGACGTATAAAAGAAGGAAGGAAGAGAGAACCCGAGAGCGCGAGAAAGCGAGAGAGAGAGAGAGAGAGAGAGAGAGAGAGAGAGAGAGAGAGAGAGAGAGAGAGAGAGAGAGAGAGAGAAATACTAATATCTTTTCTATTGTAACGAGCACGGCGAGAAAGAGAGATTGATCGGACCTGGAATAAAACAATTATTGAATGGCGCGTCGGAGTGTATGTGTGTGATTCATTCCCGCCCGGTTATCCATCATTCCTGAAAACCGGCGTAAATTCCGCGGGTCCAGTTTCGCCCGGACCCGGAAAGGGGTTGGAGCGGGTGTCCGGCCCGGCGTCGTCCTCCCCGAAGCAATTTCAGGTGCGACGATTCGGCAGATGCCAGCTCGACAATTTCGGCGCCTATGTCGCCTTACCCTCTTCCGGATATCCATACGCCATGTTTATGCATTCTATTGCATAAATAGTCATCGGGTCACGGGCGGAGTTCACGAGGCGAGTGCGTCGGAATCGGTATCTCTCGTGCTCTTCGAAAAGCCGGTACTCTTAAATACCTGCCATCCCGCCGTTTCCTCCCCGCGCGAGATCGATACGTCGAGCGCTTACGGGAATTTTTAAGAAAAGTATCGTCCCGGAAACGAAATAAATGTCGCCTTGATGCATAAACGAGCGATCGATGAGTGCATCAGGCGGAATAAATGCATAAATGAGCACATTGTTGACATTTTCGGTCATCGGGCGGAATCGCTAATAGACACGTCCGACGATAACGTTTTGCCAGTTTTATATATTTCACCTTCATATCTTTCAGCCGCGCGACTGCCGTTCGACGTTGAAACGTAGCCCCGCGTCTAAGCTGGAGAAATGTAACTTCATTGTTAAGTCAAACATACAATTATTATTAGATTAATATTAGTGACACTGTCTGTAAGTTTATAGAAAATCTGCTGCAACATTGTTCGTATTTTTTTTTCAGCTAACATAAATCATCGAATTCTGTTCCTTTCTCCAGCGTCTCTTCGTTCTCGTTATATTGTAAGAGCGACCGGCCTACGATTGAAGCCAACGGCACTATTTTTCCTGCTTGATTGCTTGCGAGAGCCAATAAGGATGCAGAGCTCTAGATCAGACGACTTACGGCTGAATCCCGATTGCTCTCGCAAGCAATCCGGTAGGAAAAATAGTATCGTCCCAGATAGCATGCATGTCTAAAAGACATCTTTAAGATGGCATTAAGTTATCTTTTAAGGACGGCATTAAGTTATCTTTACCGTCTATATTGGAAGTAATCCATACAGCATGTCTAATAGGCATCTTTAAGACGTCTTTAAGTCGTCTTTTAGATATGTACGTCTAAAAGACGACTTAAAGTTGTCTTAAAGATGTCTTTTAGACACGCGTGCTGTATGGGTAAGCAACAAGAAGTAAGAAAACCTTCACTTAGTGTAAAAGCTAAAGTGCAGGCATAATTTTTTTAAATATTTGTAGCACTGGTCAAACTGCGCTCTAATTCACCGAGAGTAAGCGCGAGAGCTGAAGTACGAGTAAGAAATGGAACTGATTCGTATCTTTACTCCTACTCTTAACTTCTTGCGCCAGGTTTACTTCGTCTATTGTAGACTATCTTTTAGACGTGTACGTCTAAAAGTTGTCTTAAAAATATCTTTATGGCGTCTTTTAGGCCCGGTTTCATCAACGTCGTTTAACTTTTTTGTTAGCTTAATTCCTTCCTCGTCTCTTTCCAACTGTTACTTTAGAAAGAGCCGAGGTTAAAGTTAAGCGACGTTTGGTGAAACTGGGCTTTAGACACCCCGATAGAAAAATGTCTCAAATATTGTGTAATCATTACATCATCCAAAAGGAAGAAATTTCACAATGATTGCTCTAAGGTGACTCGCCAGAGCGCAACGGTTTTGTAGGAATACAATTTCCACATGGTATTTGCCCGAAAATTGATAATCTCAATTCAGGGGATAAATCGTGCACAATTATTTCGACACTTATAAACAAAATTGCCCAGCAACACAGTTACGTGTAATGAACGTTTAAAAACGATCTAGCGAGGGACGTGTTTACCGCTGGAGCTGCCTTAATCTCGTCTCGCGTGAACTTTACTTACGAGTATGAGACGCCTCGTAGCGACGGCTCGTCGTAACACGACAGCGATTTAATTGTGTAAATATTCTGCCAAGGTGATTCGCCAGAATGCAGCTGTTTTGCTGGCATACTGTTCAGAAATACATTGTGCAAATATTTGATCAACATTTGACGAAAGGTCTCGGTTCTGCGCATGTTGTTCGAAATATGTACCGCATAATTCCAGCATTCCAAGTTTCATCCAGATTTCGTCACATAATTTGCTAAATATTTGCCTACCGGGGCATGCATTGCTATCTGGGGTGTGCCGTTCGCTTAACTTAAACAGCGACTAACCCAAGTGGCAATCAAGAAACTTTTAGAGATATCACGCTGATATCATCTGATGATTAAAAGGCGTTGCCACAAACGGGCAAACTTAAAAAAAAACCTCCAAATGGCAAGATTATCACTCGATGAAGGGTAGTCTCGTACCAAAGCTGGATCGTTGAACGAACGTGCACAATTCAGCTTTGCCACCCTGCATGGCGAAAACTAAGTGAGAGACGATATTTATATTTATTTATGAAGAGTTTTATCGTAAGTTACATTGTTTATGAAGAGTTTTATTGATGGCTATACCGTTTGAAAGTATGTTGCAAACACCTGGTTAGTTGCTTACTGACAATAACATTTTACAAACACTTAGAAAACTGTAATGGAAACGTTTGACATTGTATCATTAAACTCAATTTGAACACTTGTAACAGTATGAACATGTCATAAACAACTCCACGTTTCAATTTATATCTCACAAACAACTCAACAAATGTCTTAAAACCCAAATGAAACATTTAAGCAAACTTCTTATAAACATATTATTTTCGCCAGGGCGAGTTTGCGAGGGACGCAGTACAACAAAGTTTTTCTTGGATTTTCCCCTCGTTCTCGCCGAAACCCAGCGAGAAACGACACGTCGATCGATGTCAACTTGATGTCGAATTTGTCAATGCCAATCGTCGCTTCGACGAGTCAATTCTCACTGGGAAGCGACCGAGCCCGCGATTGACTGAACCGGCGAGATCGTTCGAGGCAAAATCTCGAGTCGCACGACTTGCTGTCGATTCAATTCACGTCGAAACCATTCACAACAAGTAACGACACACGGTGCACACGTTTGGTCGCCGAGTTAATCACCAATTAACTAAGTTAATTAGAGTCCGCCCAAAGTTGCCACGAGGGCACTTTCCCGGTGAGAAATGATTCGTCGAAACGTGTCGAGTCGACATCGGCACTGTCCAAATCCCAGTGAGAAATGATTCGTTGATCGACGTCGAAATGACGTCGATCGACGTCAATTCGACGGTGTCGATGTCGACTCGACGTCGTTTCGACGTCGATCGACGAATCATTTCTCACTGGGAAGAAGAATAAAAAAACCAAAGTCAATTCGACATCGTTTCGACGTCGATCGACGAGTCGATTTCTTCTCGCCGGGTTTAAAACGCCCGCGATCGGACAATCGCGCATATCACGCCGATCGCGTGCGTGGAGGCCGATCGTGCGTTCCGTCCCGTCGACTCCGGAATTAACATACTGGCGCCTCGCTTCGCCCGTAAATACGCGTAAACACAATCCCCCGGCCCCGCTCGTGTCGTGACGCGCGCGCCCGATAACGACCTAAACGTCCCGTCCGCGTATCGCATTATCGGCAGGCGTACGACAGTTACCGAACTCACGCGATCCGTGCCTACTAGTCTACAACTCCGGGGTCCCTGGCATTCCACCTCGACCGACCCGACGACTTGGAGCTGATGGCTCTCTCCTGGCGGCTGCTGACGGCCGCGCGACTGGTAGGTAAAAGTATTCGTGCGAGCGACGACTCGCCGGGCGAAAGAAGCGAGATCTCCATTCGGCTTGAAAATTTCTACGGAGCCCCCTTTTCTACTGGTTCCCGTACTACCGCGCGCTGGGTCGCGGTGAAAAAAAAATCGCCCTTCCAGTTTCTATCCGGAAATCGGGTGACCGCGTTTAACTTGCGCGAACGTCGCGAACGCGCTGGAAGGAAGGAGCGTCTGGTCTACTCCAAGTGGAAACGGGCGCAGCGGGAAGAGAGCATGTGCGGCTGAAACGCGCCACGTGCCGCGTCGACAGACCACACGCCGGATTGGACTTTGACGCGGCAGGCCGTAAAGGCTAATCTACAACGTGCTCTCTGCGCCTAGGAGCACTCTGTTTTATGCAAGCAAACCGAGACTCTTGAGAAATACGAAATCGACGATGCACGATTGTGCGCGGTGTGTGATGTACAATTGGTTCGTTGCCCAGCGAGAAGTGTCGAGTCGACGTCGATACCGTCGAATCCGTGTCGAATCTACGTCAGTTTGACGGCATCGGTGTCGATTCGACGAATCATCTCTCACTGGGCGACTGCAAAGTGGAATGTTTCCCGGGCGCAAAGAGCGCGTTGTAGACTAGGCTTAACCGTTAACTTGATAAATGACCCGTCGATCGATGTCGATCCGATTGACGAATCATTTCTCGCTGGTCGGCACTGAGAAAACAGTGTTTTCGTCCGGGAATTCACCGTGGACGAAAAACATGGAACTTTCGGCGCTGGAACCGTAGCGCACAATACATCCAGACCGTTCGCCTTCGTTGGAGTAGAGGTTCGGGTAGAAAATGCGAACGAGAGAGAACGAAATAGCACAGAACAAAGTTTGTCCCTCTCCACGTGGAACCTCTACCCCCACTGCTCGGTCTGGATTTATTATTTATTTATGTCCACGGCTGGAACTTAATCGGCTACGGTCTCCGTAGACCAGCCTTGACGCGACGCCGCGCATCGCGGGGCGGAGTGACGCGAGAATGAGGAACGAATAAAGAATGAATAAGGAACGCGCGTAATCGCTGCCGCGTAATCGTCGCTCGAGTCTTCCCTGTCTGGCGACTGTTCTCCGTCACGAGCAGATAACAGGACATCGGTAACTTGAAACTGCAAGACTCCGAAAGCGAGAGGAGCCCCTCTCGTTGACCGAGGCCTGGCCTACAAACTCTGCGTCTAGAAACGTTCTATTTTGTGGGCTGTAAATTACGTTTCAAAAATTTGTGCAAATTGATAAATCGTCTATTGTCGACCTTTTTAATTAAGCGTTTTGATTTGCGCAAGTGATATAATAGGGGACTTTTCTCTATGAACAAAATAGAATGTTTCTAGACGCGCGAAGAGCAGCACGTTGTAGAACACCTGTGTAATAAAACACCTCTGTTTCCGAACGTATTTTAGATGCGAATTAAATGGCAAATTGCGTCGGTTATCACGTGAATGACAAACATATTTGTTGGGAAAAATTGAAACAGAGCCGCAAGAATAATTTCTGTCCCAGCGACAAAACTCCTTCGTTTCCTCAGTTTCTAATTTGGTTTTGTTAAAGTCGCTAAATAGCGGACGCGATAAAATCGTTTCTTCGACGAGATTTTCAGATTTTTCAAATCTTTCCTGCGGCTGCGAAATTATTTGTGTTCGCGCCTTTTTCCTCCAAATCCTTATTAACGCATTTTGCCGGACGAAGTGACAGCTATTACAATCTTAACGATAAGAGATAAAAGATACTTCGACAAAGTCTTTAACAACAACTGACGGCTTGTCTTTATCTCGCGATATTTATACCGTCTTTGATCTTTCAGTGGATTTACCTCAAGGACAAGGTATTCGGCTTATAAAACTTGCTATTGTGTTCCAATTATTGAAAATTCTTGTGTATCGTAACATACGCAAAAATATTAAATAATTGGAGCGTCATTAGATACGCTTTTCCGTATCTTTCATACTTTTGAAGATATTTGCGTGGATCATTTGAAATGAGACACCCTGTATAAATTACCACAGTAACTCGCGACAATCTACGAAGCGCAATTAAGAATTGCAGTTATTAGATTATTAGTTAACTCAGCTGCCCAACATTGTGAGTGGTATTGCTCTGAGGTATTAACTGCGCGAGGGCTGAACGAATTGATTCTTAATTCTTATTTAATATTTTCAACGTGTGCGACAACCAGTGAAAAATGATTCGTCGAAACGATGTCGAATTGACATCAACACTGTCACGTTGACGTCGATGCGACATCAATTTGACGGTCTCGATGTCGATTCGACATCGTTTCGATATCGATCGACGAGTCATTTCTCGCTGCGAATTGCTTCTACGTTATCGCATTGCGCGGTGGTTTCTTTTTGTTACGTAATTACACGCGTGTGGTATATTTTAAATCTCGATTTTTATTGTTCTCCTTGACTTATTGTTCTCCTTGGTTTTTTTAAAGCGAATTTAGCAGATAGATTTAGCAGTCCTCTAATATTTTACACCCCGCGCGAGGGTTGGTCAGTTGACGTTCCGGTGAGACACGTCGGCGGTGTGGAAAAATTTTTACGGAGCAAATTTGTTGATAAAAACGTGCTAGCTTGTTGAAGCAAACAGTTCTTGTTTGTCAAAACAAACTGGGTATCCGTGGCAAGTGCATTTTGTTGTCGCGACAAAATTGTCGCCGGCCGAGTGTCGGTACAATAATAAAATCAAATTGGAGGGCGGAAAACGAAGACACAAGGGGGGGGGGGGTTGCCACTGGGACAGAATAATTTGCGGCTCTGTTTCAGCAAATAAAATCAGTTTTCCCAACAAATATTTTTGCCGTCGATGCAACGACCGGCGCAATTTGCCATGTATTTAAGTCGCAGCTAAACATTTACCGTATCGACAACAAATACAGCCGAATGCATTGACCGCGAGGCAGCAGATAAATCTTATTGAAAGACCAACGATATGAATACGCGGGACAAAGGGGAACAGAGGTTGTTATGGTTAACGATTTTGTCAGATCCTTCGTCAAGATCTTAACAGCTGACTCGCTTCGACGATGTCGAAGAAAATACGTTAACGACGATTTCGAAGCCACATTTTTTTCTCCGGCGAAAGTAGGAAAGTAAACCACGGTCTTTTTCGTTCGAGGAAACACTTGAGAATCGTTAATAGTTGCCCGAGTGTTTTTACACCCTAATTAAAGATCGCTATCCAATTATATAACAACTTTGTCCCCAAAATATCGTCAATTATTCATTGATCGATCGATACAATTGTTTAGTATTTTAGATCATTATACACTGACAAAAAAAATTTGTTTAAACTATGTAAATAGATTTATTTAAAATTGTTTTTTTACTGAAGTAAATATTCTTTAAAGAAAATATCAAATTTCAAGTAAACCTATGTATTATATTAAGTAAATTAATTTAAATCATTACATTTTCTACATTCAAATAAAGATTTGATGAGATATAGAGAATACTATTATATAGAATTTCTATAGAAAACTATTACATAGAATACTATTTATTAAATGAAATAATTGTTTTTGTTAAATAAGAAATCCAATTTTCTTCGCTGTGAAAATTACATCTTAGTAAACATTTTATAGAATTAAAATAAAATTAAAAAAATTTTTAATTATCTATTCTTTGATATTTCATAAATACTTAAAACAATTAGGAGCCACCTAATGAATAATTTTCTTGAGTAAAGTAATATTTTTTTGAATTAAGATATTTTTTTTTATCAGTGCACACGGACTTGCTCCAAATCGTTTGAAAGAGGAGCAAGGGGAAATCAAAAGAATAGACGTAATTTCTCAGTAAAGAAAACCAAGCCCCATTTTCTCGCCGCTGGCGTGTAAAAATCATCCCAGGTGATTGCTTCCGGGTGGAGGAAAGAAATAACGTAATAGAGGTGGAATAGCTTGCACAAACGAGTAAAGCAATAAATCAACGGAGCAAGACGGAAAATACATTACTGTAAATAAAGCCGCGAGCGTACCGTCTTGGAAATCGACCGAGACGCCGTTTACGCCGATCTATTCCAATCGGATTACAAATCGAGGGTTCACCCCAATTAATTATATACTGTTATTTCTGCGTTCTCCATCTTTACTCTCTCCCACATTGCTTTGCGATACCACTTCGCACGATATTTCTCGTTCGCTCTCTTCGCCCCCGCCCTCTAACTTGCGTTGCTCCTTTTGTCGACTGCTAGTTTGTTTTTCACGATGCTGACGCTGTGCAGTACCTAGGAATAAGACTTCCACTATCATGTGCGATAAAATTTTGCGAAAGACATACCAGTTGGACGGCATAATTCCGGAGTGACATAAAAATAGGGAAAAACATTTGCAACATTTCAAAAACTACTGTACGTATCTTATCTCGCCGCGCCCAAACGCCACCGCGTAATTGTTATTAGCGGAAAGTCCCCTATAATGAGATAGACTCCTAATATGAGATAGCGGGGTTTCTGTTAAATTAATAGGCATCGTCTTTTGATTCCGCCATAAATTTATTGCTCTTGGAGCGAAATCTGTTTAGTGGAAAATTCATTGTTAGATCGCGTTGCGAAAAAAGGATTTGTTATTGAATTTGGGTGTTGAACGCCTGCTATCTCATATTAGAAACTCATAATAAAGGACTTCCCTCTACTATTTATTGATGATGGAACTTTTTGTTTGCGCAGGCCGCACGATCGCGCGACCCGATACGATTTTTCTCGGTGAGCTCGTTTCGCTTCGGCAGTGTGGTACCCTTCAAGTTGTCCGATATCGGCGAGGGAATTCGAGACGTCACGATAAAGGAATGGTACGTGAGCAATTTGATGTAATCCGCGGAAAAATGTCCCCTTTGCACGGTGCAACCGGTATTCATTAAAAGATGCTCATCCGATTTTGAGAGTGCGGAATCTTAACTTGAAATTCACTCGTGTGCGTAAATCCATCGACTTTTCATACCTAAATTTGGTATCAAGAATTTTTTAAATTCATATTTCGAAGGCAACTTCAATTCTGACTGTAAAAGCCTCTTTGATTTCCAATTAATTGTCTAAATTGATTTAGCATCTTTTGTGACGTTCGAAAATATCTTTGTCTCTATTCTAAATTGGGCGCAATCGAATTTCAGGTTCGTAAAACCGGGAGACCGGGTGAACCAGTTTGACGATATCTGCATGGTGGAGAGCGACAAGGCCACGGCGAAAATCACGAGTCGCTACGATGGTGTTGTGAAGACTATCCACTACAAGGTAGACGACGTCGCCTTGGTCGGAACGGCGTTGGTTGACATTGAGCTAGAGGACTCGACGGAGGCTACGAGGGACAACGAGGGAGAAACCGTACAGGGAGGCGCCGAGGACCAAGAGACTGATAATTGGGAGACTAAGGAAAGCGAGCTAGACAGATTGGAAATGGAGAACATGTCGGAGAAAGTACCGGCAACCCCGGCGGTGAGGAGGATAGCCAGAGAGAACAACGTAAAGCTGAAGGATGTGGTAGCGACTGGCAAGGGGGGGAGGGTGCTCAAAGAGGACATCCTGGCACATCTGCAGAAAATTTCCACGAGTCCAGAGGTTAAAGCGGAAATTCTGTTGAACGCGAGTGTGACGGGAAGGACGGTCGGCCTCCAGGGATACCAGAAGTACATGTGGAAATCTATGACGAAAGCTTTGGTGAGTCATCGAGACGCTGAAAAGAACCAATTGTCTCGTACTAGTTTAGCAGCTACATTTGTAAATTTTTGCACAAGCACTTAAGTATTATTGTTACATTTGACATTTCAATCATTGTATATAATTATTTTTTTTTAGTAGAGGAAAGTCCTCTATTATGAGATAGCAGGTTTTCAACATCAAAATTTAATCACAACAATTTATACACGATCTAACAATGAATTTTCCACTGAACAGCTTTCACTCCAAGGGCAATAAATTAACGATGAAACCAATAGAATCTATTGAACAGGTGATGCCTATTAATTTAGCAAAAACCCTGCTATCTTATATTAGGAGCTGATCTCATAATAGGGAACTTTCCTCTATTTCTATATTAATATTTGATGACCTTTTACAATAATGCTATTTAAATTTTACAAAGATTATCATCGATATCCCGTATTACTATGAAAAATTCACTGAGATTGAAAGACTTTAATTAGATCTTTATCTGTAAGTTTTCCGTGGTTTTATACCAACTCATTTCTGTGAAATTCAAGATCTTTCTTAAAGGAGTACATTCTATTTATTATATCCTATATGTTTTTCAATTTTCTCTCTCCCTCTTTTCTGCCTTATTTTTAATCTTTCTAATTTAATTTCTAATTGCTCCTACAATTCCTACCTTTTAATGAACTCTTTCCATTCTTCTGCCAAATATCGCCAAAGAGTCCGTCCGTCAGACAGCAACTTGATCTTCATCACGAATTTCTCGCAGAGCATACCGCACTTCGTCTACAGCGATGAGTGCAACGTGGACCAAGTGATGCGCTACCGAAACGAAGTGAAGGACTCCATGATGGAACGCGGCGTCTCTCTGACTCTCTTGCCGTTCTTCATGAAAGCGGCCTCGCGGGCGTTGGAGCAGTTCCCCGAGTTAAACGCCTGGCTCGACGAGGAGAGTCAGACGCTATCGGTCCTGGACAATCACAACTTCGGCGTCGCCATGGCCACCCCGAGGGGCCTGGTGGTACCGAACATCAAGAACGTGCAGAATCTCAACGTTGTCGCGATCGCGCGGGAGCTCAACAGGCTTCGGGAGTGTGGTAATAAAGCATCAATACCGCTCGCCGATTTAACCGACACGACCTTTACGTTGTCCAACATAGGCATGGTGAGTGCGCACACGTCAGCGGATAAGAAAATCATGAATTATGGATTAGCAGAAATTATGTCTACGGCGGTTCGCGCTAAATCGCCGAGCTTTCACGACGCTAAAGTTTCATCTATTCCCGAAGTCCCTCTAAAACTTGTCATTTCTTTGCTTACCGTCTCTTTTCTTTTCCTCTAAATATTCATTCTTACTCGGTGCCGCAATGTTTCGCGCGTCTCTTAATCGCCTGTCGACTTCCAGGTCGGTGGAACGTACACAAAGCCGGTGATAACGCCGCCGCAGTTGATAATCGGTGCATTCGGGAAGACGCAGAAGTTACCGCGATTTGACGACAAGGGGAATGTGTTTCCGGCCAACATCATGTCCGTCAGCTGGTCTGCGGATCATCGCGTCGTCGACGGCGTAACGGTGGCGAATTTCTCCAATTTGTGGAAGCATTACGTGGAGAATCCGACGCATCTGCTGATCGGTGCGTGAAGCTGCTTTATACATGTACACGAGGATATTCAATTCTTACGTTATTTACATAACTGAAAAAGAAAAACTCAAGAGCGTTATTTTGTATTCAGCTACGGTCTTCATAATCTCGTAGTTTTTTTTATAATACGCAGGAGGTCTAAGATGGATGAAAAAAAAAAGTATTTAACTTCGTGCATAAATCATGAAGATTATATCGATTAAATATCATATCGAATATCGGCCATGCATACCATATCGAGAGTCGAACATGCATATCATATCAAATCACATTGGTATTCACTTTTTTATGTCGATGTAGAGGTAGATTTTGCACATATAAGCGCAGAATTTGTACCGCGAGCTACGTAACGTCCAACTTGAAAGTTATCCATGGATTTTTCGAGTTGTCACGTTACCACGAACCTGCCGCGCCGCGAAAAAGCGTTATTATCTCGCAGAAACTACCTTTGCGAAAGAGAGTCACGTTCCTTTACATAGCGATACGATTATTACGTTTTATACTTTGTCCTATATTCGTGTTTACTTTATCCCGCTCGCAGCGTATTGCTTCCACTCTGCGTTTCATTTTAGTACCAGAACGACCGACTTGTAATTTCAAGACTGTTTATAAAATGTTTATCTACTATTATACAGCAAAATTATACGCACAGTAAAATTGTTGCTTTCGTGTGTTTACGTTCATTCTTCGCAAACGTTGTCTTTGTATTTAAGACCAGTATTCATAGTCGGATCTTATATTCAAGATTGTCTCAAGATCAACTTTGATACTCGGTATCCAATGAAATGTTCCGTACAGTATCCTTAGGTAAATTCAAGACGGTCTTGAATATAAGATCCGACTATAAATATCGGCCTAAGACTAAATAAAAGACTAAATAAAAGAGAGATATAAAACAGTTGTTGTGCGTTACTTAAAACAAAGACTTGGGGCATGAAACATTGTCCTAAAAGTTTCGAGAGCAACGAGCGAACGCCGCGAGGGAAACTAATCGCGCGAGTTTCTACGAGCAGAGACAGCCATTCTGTTAAGGCTCTTACGCTGCGAATGTTCTTCGGGAAGCACCACCGGTCTTGTTAATGTCCTACCTTTCGCACGTCTTACCTCCCTGTCTTTTGTCTTAAATCTATCTTATTACTGACTAATGCAATGTTATATGCACGCAATAAGATAATTTAATGAACTGTTGAACTTTATGAGAGCAAGTTTTGTAAAACTTTTTGTAAAACAATGAACAATGTGACATGACGTATGCAAACGAATAAATGAAAAGGAAGTTTTTACCAGCCTATTTCATTTCTTTTTATCGACCCTCGATGTGGAAAGACGCGCAAAAGTCCTACCAGATACATACGCGTCCGAACGCTTTGTACGTAAATATTAATTTATTTATTGCTGCACAACCATCTAGGACTTCTCGTTAAAGGTCAGACATCTTCCACTAACATATTCAAAATGCAATAGTAATCGTATATCAGAAGACGACGTCCGGTAGAACGTATCTGTTTGTACATCGATCACCGTTACAAACTATAAATTATTCATACAATGACAACCATAATTAACGTACGCTAACGAAGTGGCTGTACCGTTCACAGAGACAACTCGTTCTCCGGATAAGCGCGGACGTCGCGAGACGCGGCGTTTAACGCGTCGAATCGTCGAAAAAGAAAGAAAAAAAGACAACACTCTGGCACAAAAAATAAACGAGTTTGGTTCGCCTGGAAAATTCGCTCGGCTTAAATGTAAAATCGAGAGTAAAAAAAACACAAAAAACGCATCGCAATTAAAATGGTACGACCACTTGATTGCTTTCTCAACGTTTGCTTACATACGCACAATTAGTCGCTTATTGTATATACACTTATGGGTACAACTCGGAGCTTCAGTCACGCGTTCAATCTTATAATTCGCAATTCACTCCGATCAATAACGATAGCGAGCGTCGCTTGTGGCGTTTCCGTGCGGGACGGGCTCGGCTCGCGCGCCCCTTCGGCAATCCGGCAATCGTAGTCGTAATTGCGGGATAATTAATTGCAAAGCTTTGGAGAACTCTCTCATCAGATCCGACCAATTCGCGAGACTCGGGGGCGACCGCCGGACCCGTCTTGGTCGGGAAACGCCGTTGAACATGTAATAGGTATCCAAAAGGTAGTCAGTCTGTTTAGTTTAGAGTAGTAGAAAAGAGTACAATATGTGTGTTCGTGGTCCATGAAAGTGGAAACTTCTCCGTCAGCCGACACGTACTTAATCCCGGCCCTTCTGAAACGTTCCAATAACAATTATCAGGCTGATCAAGAAAGGCGCTCGTTCCTTCTCTTCTAGGAGTCGTCGAGGAGAGGGGAAGACGGGCGAATTTTTTGATCAACTCAATACATCCCGTCGCGTTTCTACGAAATTAAATGCAGCAACAGGACGAGAAGAGCAACGAACTAATGTCGCGAGGGAAACTAATCGCGCGAGTTTCTACGTGCAAAGGGAAGAAAAAAAAACAATTCTTGCGAAAAACCTCCTTTCCAGTACAATCTGATTGGAAGTTCGGATTGTCGTTAGCGACGACGTTGACAGACGTGGGACGTAACGCAAGAGACGAAGGAGAACTGTCGATGTGAGTCGGCGAAGGGCGCTAAATGACGTTTGCTATCGGGTCTGACTAGGTACGAATAATCCTACTAACTCCCGACGCGGAAATCGAAATACGAAGCGGCTTCTTCCTCTTTGAATTTACCGTAAAACCTTATGATACGTAACACCGACGAAGAACGAAGATACAAATAGACGGGCACTAACTTAGTAACAACAATTAATTACCTAACACACAGTCCCGGGTCCTCGGCATCTCTTCCCTGTCGATTGGATTGAGATTCCCGATCGACGGGATCTTTCGGACTCGTAATAAAAAAAGCCGATATCCCGACTGGTAATATTCAACGGCCTGACGTCATATTATCGTTAATTAGCGAAAGCAACTTTGGCAATTAAGTTATACTCGAGATTGACAAATGGAAAGGGGCCGATTGCGTTTTTAAGTAGAATCGAGAGTCGGATTTGCGGGGGAAATTTTTAACAGAGAAAAGATGCGGACCGCCTGGCACGTAAATAGTCTTGCATTCACACTGGTTTGGATTATAACAATACGCTCAATATATATATAAACGTAACATACATATATATATATATTATAACCGAATAACGATTTCATTTGTGCTACCATTTTTCAGTCCTACATTCCTCTTGTCCTCTCCACCGCGACTTTTCCTTTTATCACCTCTCTTTTACGACGTACAAAAGCGTCGTATCCCGACCTGTCGAATATCACGCTCGACTAACAATCGTCGCGGGGGAACGGTTCCTACGAAGGTACGGGTTTGCTCCTTCAACGGGATATTAACGGAAGAAACGCGAGTAATTGCCAAATTAGTCGCTAAATCAGTCGCGTTAGTTCCGAAAGGCGTTTCGTGGTCTCGACAGTCTAAGAACACTAATGATAAAAAGATCGAATAACAATACACGTACACATTCATTTGGTCCTTGAGCACTGGCGCGAGACGTGTAACTTGTATCAAATTTACGTGCATTCACACATGTATATAAAAAAAAAAACGAATAGACGCGCTATCCGTAAAACTTATGAGCGTCGCTTTATATCGTTCAAAGTTAATGTACTGATCAATCGAGTTTCATTGATTGAATTTTGGTCACTTTTTATTGTTACACACACACATTGAATAATCGTTAAAGAGATAAACGACGATATGACCTTGTACGCAATGCGATAACTGAAGAATTGAATGCATCCTTGATTAACGTCACAAACGCCAGTGTTTAAGGATTGATTAACGATCGAACAGCGATCTCTCGCGATACGGGGTAAATCGGAAAAGAGGCGCAAAATGCGAGAGAGATATTATCCATAGATGGACAAAACGCGCAATTGTTGAACGTCCAGAGGACTGACACTGATACGAGTATAAACATTATTATCGATATAAGTACGGCACATAGAAGAATATTTTCTTTTCTCTCCTACCAGACAAGGGGAGCGACGAGGGTCCCGCAGAGCGAGGCGCAATTATTATCGATAAACCCTGAATGCTCGATTATCTACAAACAGACGTCATTCGAACTGCCGTCCCGCAGAGGCGACGAGCAACTCGTTCGTAATCGAACATTCGGCTGAACAATCCGAGGCTCCGCTTGACTCGCAACAGTCCGGAGCTGTCCTCTTCACGGTATCCGTTGAATCATAGAATTTATAGCTTTGCCGTATGCAATAACAACTACTATAGATAGTCAACAACTAATAAAGATCGCTGCGCACGATCGGATCACGTTAGAAATGATTCGATTACAACGAAGTAGAGCGCGATGACGTTATATGTGTATCTCGCGGTGGAAACACGCACGGGGTGCGTCGCGTGCAACATTTCCGACAAAATCTCGCCCGTGAATTCCTTGGAAGGTTCCAAGCCGACTTTCTCTCAACAACAAAAAAATTAATCGCAAGCCACTCTCGACCTCGTAATTTAGTATTTTAAGAATAAAGATACTTAACAAAAAATTAAAATTTTAAAATTTTTTATATAAAAATCAAATATTTTTCCAATTTCAAAACTAAAAGTTTCTGTTACAAATTCCGATTCAAAATTTTACTGAACGAGATCTTCATTAAAAAAAAAAATTATTAACTTTTCAAAATTGGTAGCTCGTTTTTCAATCGCAAATGAAAAACCCGTCCACATTTCGTGCGTTCCGTGGAAAGCAAAAGTAGACTTCAAACCGCGAATTCGAAGGCGAGGCCTCCGACGTCGAAACACCCCGTAGAAATATCTCTAACAAACTCCTCGACACGCGGGAACAATCGAGAGACTTATTTACACCGCCCGGGATCTACGGGAGCCTCGTCCGACCTGTCTACAGATAAATCTGTTTATATATAATATATGTATATATTCATATATGCATAGTATATATATCTTTTTTTCTCAATATGTTATGTATATGGATAATAAATAGTACTTTGTTTTCTGGCACATTGTCGGCGCTCCCGTGGTCGGGGAACGCATATAGATATAGATGTAAATCGACTAATCTACCAACATCATCGTTCGCACACGCGGATGCGCGCGTGTCGCGGGATTAGAGAGCTTTCGGGAAAGACATTATTGTTCAAGTCGTAGTTACTCGTGGAGGAGCTACACTGGCAGGCGGACCGGACCGGACAGTCCGCGCGCCGACAGATTGTTGAAAAAAATAACATACGCTTTATAGCATAGATTCTCACGGGAAGAGGATGAAATCACCTTGTCGCGCGTTAATCGCAAAACGAACGATATCCTAGCTTGCTTACAACCTTATTCGACACAGATATATAGAGATGTACGTGTAGACGTGGGTGTATCTCGTTTCTCGGCAGTCCGCGCGAACGTCGTCGCGGATTCGCAACGGCGCGAACAGTCCCGGCGACGTCGGCGCGGACCGGCCGTGCTCGTATCTCATATTTTCTCGCAAACGTGGCGCAACCTTAACGATTATCGATTTTTGCGGATTTGATTAAAGAATATATTTAAATATATATATATGTATATGTGTATTATAGAGCTATATATATATAAAATGTATTCAGTCTGAAGTATGTAAAGCGATCGTACGCGATCTAAAAGAATTAGAAAAAGTTTCCTTCCTCTTTGTTCCGCCGAAGTGACTTACAATCATTGGTGGCGACTTATCATCATTGATACAACAGCACCGGTGGCACGCAGAACGGCGACGGCGTTATTGTGGTCCGACTTGGTGAAGTCGATGCCGTCCACTTCCAGAATCTTGTCTCCCGGCCGGAGAGTACCCTGAGCTGGCCCATCGGGATTCACCTTCGTCACGATTATTCCCTGAAAGAAAAACACCAAGGCTCGCAGATATTCTTTTACAACAACGACGACGCGAACAAAATTCAACGTAAATCAGGCGAGTAACATACGGTCTCTGCACCCGCTACCCCACCGGCTATGCTGAAACCGAGACCTGGATTTTTCTTCACTTGAACGGGCAGCTGCGAACAAACGTACTGAAATTAGAAAAGTCATCATGTATCTACAAGTAGAGGGAATAACATAATAGAGGGAAGTCCCCTATTATGAGATAGGTTTCTATTGTGAGATAGCAGGTTTTCAACGTTCCGAATTCAATCAAAAATCTTTTCTCGCGACGATCACACATTAACTTTACCATACATTTTACTAGTAAAAATATCGAAAAACTCTCATAAAATTCTTCGAAATGCCACGTTGTCCCACGATTACGTGATGTTCAAGATAAAATTTCTCCGTGTGCAGGATATTATCCAAAGATTGTTTGCATAAAAGTGACATCGTATTCTTTTACTCTTATTCGACACAGATATGATTTTGTTGAAAAGTGAATCACATAAAACAAATTCAAATACGTTTCACATTCTCTGCATTCTCTCGTAAACCAGAGTACCCACCACATTCGCGTTTTTGTGAGGGCCAAACATCCACCTGAACTTGGGTTTCCTCTCGAAGCTCGGTGTCTCGTTCGACGTAGAATTCGCGTACTCCTTGAGGCTCTCGGCGCTGGGGCTCGTGTCGCCCTGAGACCTGCCGTTCGTACTGTGGTTCGATATGTCTCGGTTCGAGCTGCTCTCGTTCTTAGCGACAGCGGGTGAAGCGACGTCCGACGCGTCGACGACGCTCCTACTCGTTTGAACGGGACTCGTCGTCGCCTCGTTCGTCGTCGGGGCGTTTTCGTACGGACTGTTACTCGAGGCGTTCCCGTTCGTCAGCTTCCTCGAGCGATCGAGCGGCTTCACCGGCGCTGATAACGGGCTGCGGTACTTCTTCCCCGTAACCGGCGATGTGGGAATGCCGGAGTACGCGCTCAACGTTCTGCCCGCGTCGTATTCCTCCCTCGAGGGACTCCTGCTCGAGCTCGTGTCGTTACTTGTCGAGTTCTCCGTGTGTTTCGCCTTGAGAACGGGAATTTTGCTCGGCTTCAGGGCACGATCGTTTTGCTCGGGGTCGGCGCCGGAATTCGGGATTGGTGCGCAACTCTGGTCCGCGCCGGTCTGATTAAGGGAACTCGTCCGCCCGCTGTCCGCCGGCTTGTCGCACGAATTAGCGAGATTCGCCCGATCGCCCGACGACACGGACGCGCATTCCTCGGCAGACACCGGGTCCGCGCTCGCGTCGAAGCTTTTCCGCTTCGTTACATCCGGTAGCGGCCCGGCTGAATTTAAGGGCGAGTTGAAAGGTAGCGAAGATGGTACCAGATGTGTATCCGCTTCGATCGCTAAAAAGAAACGAAGATTCGCGTTAGATTCTCAATTCTCTGCTGTTTAAACGTCAGCTGTCTAGAAATGAGACAAGTTCTCACAAACTCGATGATAGAAACACGCGATTAAAAGAGATACCTGCACAAAGTGAATACTGCAAAGTGTTTGTATCATAAAATCATCCCATAAAAAGCCCTTTTACCAATTGTACATAGGACGATCAAATAACGTTAGCGTCCCTCTCACGCATACGATTCTGTGAACGATATCTCTTTACAGACAGCCGACTTTTAATCACTCGTTTAAGCGAACAGTGATAACGTACGGTTGTTAAACTGCTGGAAAAAGGCGGCCTTTTTGGAGAACGCCGCCGCAATATGATACGGCGGCGGAGCCGGCGGCACGTCGCACGATTTCGGCGCGACGGATAACCGCGTCTGCTCGCCGTACTTGCCGTCCGTCGCGTCGACGGACGCGGTCGTCCTGTAGGGCTCGATGAACTTGTCGGACTCCACTATCTTCGCCGTGTTCGCCTTGGAATACTCGTCCGGCTTCCACGTGGAATTGACGTAATCGGCCACCGTCGGCGCTTTCACGACGTAATCGGACGTGGGATTGCGGATGTACTTGGCCTCCCGGATGTCCGGGCTCTTCTCCTTCGCCAGCACGGTCTTGTTCGCCTCGTCGGACGACTCTTCCGACACCGAGTGCTCCGCCGCTCCTGGGTCGGCCGGTCTGTTGCTCTTGCTGTAGTTCTTCGCCGTGTGACGATCGACAGAGGTTGTGGATAAAGGCGTGCTCTGTCGAAAAGAATAACATGTATTAGCAATAAGATCAAAACCTCCTTCTTCTTCCTCTTAAATTAGGCTTAAGTCTATTTTTTTCCGATTAATTCGTCTCTTGTGATCCGAATGTCCAGCTGTCCAGCCATCTCTTTGGGGGTCTTCTGGATGTTGGTTTCCCATCTCTTGCTGTTCTTGCTATTCTCTCTTCCCCCATTCTGGATACGTGATCGTTCCATTCACATCCTCTGTCTTACTCATCTGACGATGTCTGGAACATCGCAAGTTTCCCTGATCATCACGTCGGGTACTCTGTCTCCAAGTGTCTTGCCCAGGATGGTTCGGAGAATCCGCATCTCTGTCGTGCGGGCCATGTTCTTAGTTTTCTTGGTTTCCGCTCTTGTTTCTGCCGCATACGTCACGATTGGTCGAACACAGGTTTTATATATCCTGACCTTGGCTTCCTTCCCCATATATTTATTATGCCATATGGTTTCCCTTAGGCATCCTGATATTCTTGCCGCTATATTGATCCGACCCTGCATCTCTTTCTTGCTGTCCTGGTTGGAATATCTCCACTCCCAGGTACTGGAGTGACATGAGCTGTTCAATGATTTCGTTCACAGCCAGCTTGCATCTGATCGGTTCTCTCGCGA